AGTGGGAAGGTTGCCCTGCACCGCGGGTAGGTCTTTGCCTCCAAACTCTTGTCTCGAAGTCTGAGTTGGGGCCGCCTGCTTATTCCTTTTTGTCCCCCCGGGGTGCGGGGGAAGGCTGAACCTTAGCCTCTGAATTCAACATCTGGGAGACCCATTTAATTCCTGAGCCCCCTTCCCCATGAGAAAACGAGGCTGGCGTGTCTGAGGGCGGGAGGCGGTGGGCAGTGTTCCTTCCTCGTTCTAGAGGCCTCTGCGATTGTCTGCATTTAGCTAAACGTGCCAGCCCCAGCGGCCTTGTCCCATGTCCCACGTCCCACGTCACCACTGCAGACAGCCCTGCTATCTGCCCCCCCACCAGTCATCGACCTGTGACCAGAGAGCCAGACTAAGAAATACGCAGATACCTGCCATCTGTTATTTATATATCTATGAGCTGTAGTCTTGCCAGGCAGGGGGAATGTGAAAAAAATAGTAAACGTATTGGTTTAATTTAATCCAGTTAAATGAAGGGGGGCAGGCAGACCTTGAGATTGGACCCAGAGGTCCAGGGTCAAGGGACCAGCCCAGCTGGAGGACTCGGGCGCTCAAAAACAGCACTGCATGTCAGTCAGCAGCATGACACAACCGTGCCTGCTGTTTTGGCAAAACAACAAAAAAGCTGGCCTCTGCGCCTCTCGGCCCACTGAGGAGGAAACTCCAGCCAGCTCCAGACAACCCAAGTGACCGGCTGCACAGTTCTCTTCCTGATAAGCGGCTTTTAAGCCCAGGAAGATTCAAATTTAAAAAATAGCGGTGCACTAAACCAGAGCCCAAATGTACAAGTGTATTTGTACATTCACGCTACGTGAAAGTTGGGTCAGGTTCGGCGTGTTCGTGGACACAGCCCTGTCTTTGCAATGTTTAAGAACATTTGGAGCCCTGGCTGGCGTAGCTCAATGGATTGAGCACGGGCTGCGAACCAAAGTGTCGCAGGTTCGATTCCCAGTCAGGGCACATGCCTGGGTTGCAGGCCATGACCCCCAGCAACCACATGTTGATGTTTCTCTCTCTCTCTCTCTCTCTCTCTTTCTCCCTCCCTTCCCTCTCTAAAAATAAATAAATAAAATCTTTTAAAAAAATAAAAAATAGTGGTGCACTAAGCCAGAGCCCAAATGCACAAATGTATTTATACATTCATGCTATGTGAAAGTTGGGTCAGATTTGGCGTGTTCGTGTACACAGCCCTGTCTTTGCGATGTTTAAGAACATTTGGCCACTGGAGTTTCTCATGTGGACCATCGAGTTAATGGATGTTAGCTGAAATTTGACGTTGACCATTTAAGAGAATTCGGCAATGTCTGTAAACATTACTAGACTATTTAAGAGAGCTTACTATTTACTTTGTTTATAAGTTTGTTGTATAGGTCAAAAGCATGCTTTGAAATCCTTGGGAAAGCTTTGTTTCTTAGTGGTGTTTGAAACATTTATAAGAAAATCAAATTCATTAAATGAATAAACGTAATTCAGAATATCCAAGGCAGAGCTGTTCTGTACAAACACCATTTCAGTGCATATGGGGTGGGGCAAAAGCAGGCTTAGTTGTGTGTATGCAAAACAGAGTTTATTCTCATATTTGTACTTATTAATTATGGCATTATTTTCCACATGAACAGCTGTACACCTAGTTTTGCTCCACCTTGTGCAGTATTTTAAATTTTCTAGTAGCCACTTTTAAAAAGAATAGGTAAACACACTTGTAATAACATTTATTTAACTCAACATATCCAAGATACTATCATTTCAACCTGTAATTCATACAAGAGTTACGAACGAGCTACTTTGCATGTTTTAGCCCATCTCCGAACCCTGCCGTGGAGTTCCCATTCCCGGCCCCTCTTGGCTCAGACTGCCGCACGTCCGGCGCACACACTCGTCCAGGGGCTGGCGTACGGGACTGCAGAGATCTAAAGGGGTTCAATCAGCCACAGGTATGCTGGGCATTTAGTATTAAGGAAGCTTATTCTGTTCAACCTGATTGACTGAACTATCACTCAAAGACGCCGTGAGAATCGCTGTTAAACACTGCTGGGCTTACACAAAACATGAGATTTGGGTACTGAACTTCTTCTAAGTTCAGGAAAAATAGATTTTAAAAAATTTGTTAATTTAGGAAACCACAGCTAGCCTTCGAGGACACAGCGGCAGGCTTTGAGGACATCGCCCACCACAGTCAGAGGACTCTAGTCATCCACCTCGGTGCCGGCCTGGCACGAAAGGCCTGGTGCTTTTGCTGGCGTGTCGCACGCAGAGGTCAGGGCTGACTGAGAGCCCTTGGGGAGTGTCTGCCCAAAGCACCCTGTTCCACTGATGCGAACGCCGAGGCCCAGAGAGGAGGGGGAGCGCTCGGTGAACCAGAGGCCAGGCCTGGGCAAGTACCTCCAGCCTCCCGATCCCACACCACCCTCCTCAGTCACGGGCTGGTGGGGTTCGCTCCCTCTGCCTCTGCCTCCCCAGTTGGCTGATCGGGAAACTGAGGCACAGTCCTGGAGGGAACACCAGCAAAGCATTGGAAAGCACGGCTCTCTGGGCCCCAGTCTCGCAGCACAGACCAAGGTCTGATGAGACAGCCCAGACCCCCGGCCAGCCTGGGCAGAGAACTCGCTGAGTGCGGCCTGGGGTGCAGCCCAGAGCTGGGACTGGAAGGGTCCTGCTCAGCTCCCACTGCAGCAGCCAGGTCTGCCAGGGGCCCCCAGGGCGGGACTCCAGCCGCCGGCAGTCCTAGGGCGCAGCCTGGGAACCCCACCAGGCTGCACACCCTGCTTCTGGAGTCAAGGCCCCGAAACTTCCTGCCGGCCTCGTCCTCCCGGCTCCTGTCCCTCACTCTGCTACATTAATGCCATTTCTTTCCTGTTTTTTCCCCCCTTGGAGGTCCTAATCTCCTTCCCCATCCGGGTCTGCCCAGCACACCTATCGGACCAAAGAGAAACCCACAAGCAGATCTGGGCCGTCCTGCTAGGGTTCAGGCCTGCACTCAGGGAGGACAGTCTCCCCCAGATGAGCTCGCTCCGGTCACACAAGAGGCTCCCTCGGGGCCCCTTCTCCTCTTGGGGAGCTTTGGTGCACAGTTTCTGCCTGGACTGCCCTGAAATTCCTGCTCGCCCATGTTTCTCAGCAGTAGAGCATAGACTGCGGGGGACTCTTTGGAAGGTTTAAGGAAGCATCGTTTTAAAGCCATTAAATCAAGTAGTGAGCAAACTGCTTCCTGCTCGAAGTGCTTTCAGTCGCCCTAAAAGGTCAAGGAAAAAGTAACAATTTGGAGCCAGATGTCTTTGTCATTCCCCTCACAGCTCCCCTTGAACAGAGACGGCAAGGCCCACGCTTCAGGCTCAGGCGCTTTTACATTCTCTTCACTCTTCGTGAGCACGTAACAGAAATTGTTTTTCACCACTGTTTATTTTTCTGCCTATCTTTACTTTTACTCACGGCAGATGATGCCGGTTTTCCATTGGTAATAGTGACACGGTTTCCTTTCAAAACTAAACCCGTGTTAGTAACAAGTGAGTCAATCGAATATAAACACAGTTTCAAAAGCACACGGCAGCCCATCACTGACGGTGCCCGGAGCACACGGAGCAGGTCGGGCAGGCGTCAGGATGAGACTAGGACCGAAGTGCAGGGAACTCGGCTCCAGAGGCCCCTTCGCTTCACCGTTGGGAGTTCTGCCCAGGCCCTGAGTTCCTGCTTCCCTTCAGGCACAGTTCAAGGTCAGTTCCCTGGGCCTAAGGGCCGGCTCACAGAACTCCAGACTCAGACCTACCTCCCTCGGAGCCAGAGCCGGCGGCTGGGCCTCACAGAGAAGCACAGAGCGTGGGAAAAATGAAGATGGGGAGGAAGGAAGCGCAGGGCAGAGGGTGGCTGAGCTCCATGTACTCCCGGTGACCAGGGTGTTCCCACATGGGGCTGAAGGCACTCACATTCCTGCTTCCAGAGCTAAACAGCTTTCCCTGAACCAGGGCGAGGCCAGGAGGCGCAGAGCACATGGTAGAGGCAGAGAAAAGAGGGCCCCCCGGAACTCCCGCAATGTCCCCAGCCCTTCCAGCTGCCTCAGAAGGCCCTCCCAGTGGGTCTTCCTGGGTGTCCCTCATACCAAACCAAACGCACTTGCCCCTCCCCACCTCCGCCCCCCGCACTGCCAGGTGGACCCAGACTCCCTCGGCCTGGAATTCTGTTTCCACATCAGTCTCCCTAACCCCCCAACATGAGGCCCAACCGTGGCAAGATCTCTTGTGTCCCTGGGCCCCTGCCCAGCTCTGGCCAGCTCAGGCCCACATTCGGCAGGGCCACAGCATCCAATGAGCACGGCCCAGGGCCCGGACCTTCTGGCCCCCTGACACCCTGGCCCAAGCCACAAAGGCGCCCTGGCACTCAGGGAGAGCTCAGGAGGAAAGGGAAGTAATCCTCAAGAACCTTCCTGTTCATGTGTGTCTTAAAGTGCCCCAAATAGTTGTGCCAAAGCCACCGGCTGCCCTCAACGCCCCTTGGCTTCTTCCAGAGTTCTGCTTTTAGACAGCTCTGCTGCGAACGGTGCGAACCTGGTGAGCCCAGAGGCTCTGGGGTTGAAAGTACAACCGCCAGCCGTCCTACCTCCCTGGAAGGAGAACGGCTCCTTGCTGAGAGCTGGCAAGAGCGAGGGAATGGGGCAGTCCCCGAGCCCGTGGGTGGGCGGTATCCCCCTGCCCCGAGACCCTGGGATCCCAGCGGCCAGAGCACAGCTGCTCCCAATCTCAGCCTCGGTGCCCTCTCTGTCCAGGCACAGCCCAGCCATCTCCCCATCATCAGGTTCCCAGACCCTCTCTGGGCGCTGATGCTGTCGGCACAGCCAAGGCCTCCCTGGTGCCAGAGCACAGCCTGGGCTGTAAGGCTCCAGGAAGTTGAGCATGAGAAAACAACCAGAAGTGGGCCAAGAAGCCAGGACCCCCATCCTCTAGCAGGAGTGGCCGGAGGTGGGGAGAGGGGGTTACCTGAGAGAGCCGCCGCCAGCCATCCAGCGATCACGCAGAAGAACCACATGCCTGGTGCCATCTGTGACAGCTACGCGTGTCTGCCGGCGGGGAAAGCCATCCCGGGGCCAGGGAGTGGACACGGCTGCTGGGTGCCCCTCACGCCTGCTCTGTCCTGTGCCGATCCTGGCTGCGTCTTCCTCTTCTCGAGAGAAGGCGCTCTGTACGCATGCGGGCAAGCCCAGCCCGTGAGTGTCTCTCACATCTCGGTGCTCTACTTGTGGTTTTGGTCTCCAGGAAGCCAGGCTGGTAGGGAGAGCCCAGCGCCTCTGCTGCGAGCCCACCAAGCCTGGATGAACCCCAAGAGTCATGGCGAACACACACACACACACACACACACCCTAAGGAAAAGGGAAATGGGAGAGCATGCCTCATTTCTGAAGACCTGACACAGAGTGGATAGATGTTCAATCACTACATGTTGGAAAAGTGGGTCCCTCAGTCCATGGAATCACTCCATGGACTCCAGCTCTCAAGAGATCAAACCCCAAGGGCTACCTTATCCTTGGAAGTAGTGATGGCTGGGGATCAGTGATGGCCGCTGGGGAGCAGGATGGCGTGGTCTGGCAGTGTTGTGAGGGAGAGCCTCCAACGGCCCCTACAGAGTCTTAAATCGGGAAGGGCCACAGAGGGGGTTTGTCCCCCACCTCCTCTGCAGGCTGCAGCCATCCCCCGAGATGGCTCTAGGGAGGCCTGTGCACCCCCTCCAACTCCCCACCGGGTCCCTCAGAGGGTGTTCGTTCCTCCCAGGGAGTCAGGCATGGCAGCTGGGCCCAGAGGGGCGGACGAGTGGGAGGTCAGCAGGGGGGACGGTGGAGGCCTCTGGGCCAGGAGGAGCCAAGGGAGCACACAGGGTGGCAGGCGACCCAGGGCTGGTTGGGAAACCCCCAGTTGTCCAGTTGGGCTGCACCGGACACTGGGAACCAGACCAGAACCAAGTGAGCTTCACTCACCACCGCACTCCCTGTGGGGTCTACAGTGGCGGCTGCGTAACCGTCGGTGAGGGGACAGAGAGACAGGTCACTTCATTTCGTTGTCCCAGCAGAATCCTTAAAGAAGTTGAGGAGCCCTGGAGAGCCAGGCTCCTCCCACCTAAACCCTGACGGGCCCCAGGGGTAGAAAAGGCTGAGGCACCAGCTGAGGCTGCCCCCTTGTGGAGGGTCACTGGTAGCACAGATGGCGGGTGTGTGCCTCTAGCCTCGATTTAATTTCATTCAATGGACACTTTTTTTTTAAATCCTCACCCAAGGACATGGTCAGGTTTTAGAGAGAAGGGAAGGGAGGGAGAAAGGGAAACAAACATCGATACAAGAGGGAAACTCGATTGGTTACCTCCTGTACATGCTGCGACCGGGAATCGAACCTGCAATCCAGGCATGTGCCCCCACTGGGAACTGAACCTGCAACCTTCTGGTTTATGGGAGGACTCTCCAACCAACTGAGCCATGCCAGCCAGGGTCATTCAACTGACACTTTGAGAGCCGTCCATGTAAGGAACCCTGGAGTGGGCTCTGGGGAAGGCGACTGAACCACTGCCCTGCCCTCAAGGAGCATGTGGCTAACGAGCACAGGTGACCAGCCCGCAGGCCAGGTACGATGAACTTCAGGAGGTCTGCTGATGAGCAGGGTGACACACATTTGCATGGGCCAGGAAAGCTGGGTAGACTTCTGTTTTCTTTTTAGATCCCACCTACAAGTGAAATTATATGGCATCTATCTTTGTCTGACTTACTTCTCCTGATACAGGAGAAGTATAGGTCCCTCTAGGTCCACCGTATAACAAGTGGCAAGATTTCATTCTTTTTTTTACTGCTAAATAACATTCCATTGTATGCGTATGTACCATATTTTGCCGTGTATAATGCACAGTTTTTGCCCAAATTTTTGAGGGAGAAATAAGGATGAGCATTATGCAGAGGCATGATTATTACATACCATGGGTATAATAATGGGTATAACAATCCCATGTATAATCTGCACACAAAAACATGGGTGTGAATTACACACAGCAAAATATGGTATATATGGTCTGTCCAGAAGGTACCCAGCCATCGAATATGAAGAATGGAGACATTTACTGAAGAAGATGCAAGATACAAGAAACATTGTACAGAGGACAATGATGCCTCAGTCCCCTTCAAAGCAGGCACCTTGAGATCTCTCACAGTTCTCCCAGTCTCCACCAGCTGCCCTGTTGTATTTTCCTGAATCTCACTGACAGTCTGAAATCTCTTCCCTTTCAAAGGCAATTTTAATTTTGGGAAAAGCCAGACGTAGCAGGGCGCCAAATCTGGGCTGTGGGGAGGCTGAATCACCTGGGTGATTAGATGTTTCGCCAAAACACTCTGCAGGAGAGGTGATGCCTGAGTGGGCGTGTGGTCCTGACGAAGCTGCCAGTCCCCAGTTGCCCACAGCTGCGGCCTTCTGAGTCCTCAGAATAGTTTCCACAGAGGAAAGTTCAAGTGTAACGCAAAATCTGATGCAGGTTCGTTGCTCTACTTGCTCAGTCATTTTGAATGGGACGGCCACACAGCACACATGCTCACTCACTGGCATCTACCGCCCCCACTGACTAGCACAGTGAAGTCGTCAGTGTTCACACATGCGCATTCCAGTGCACTCTCCTCGGCTGCCAGGTTACCCTAATGTCATGCAAACTGTTCTCGTTATATTAACAGTGGCTGGATTTTTTCTGGGTGGTGTGTTTGTATATACATCAGATCTTCGTCCATTAGTCTATCGATGGACACCTAGGTTGCTTCCACCGCTTGGCTGCTGCAAGAAATGCTGCAATCAGCACGGGGGTGCACTGTAAGTGCTTTGCACAGAGACTCTGGTCACTGGACTCATCACAGCGGTCATGTTACACAGTACACGAATGTCAGATCGCTGTGCTGTACACGTGAACCAACACAGTACCATATGCCAACTATACTTTAATAAAAAAAATGTAAAGAAGAGGAAATCAGGACACAGATAGAGATAAAGGAAGAACCTTGCGAATACAGAAGTAAAACGGCCATCCGTGAACCCGGGAGAGAGGTCCCCAGAAGAAACAGACCCGGCCACAGGCACCGCTGCTTCCTTTTTCAGCCACGTAGATAGTTACGCTGGGCTTTCCAAGGTGGGGCTGGGCACCTGCCAGGCTCGGTAAGGCCCACTTTGGGACTTCCCACCACCTGTCGTCTCTCACCTGGCCTGGCGGGGTGCTGTCAGGAGGACCTGGAGAGGCCACGTCCACCGAACATCCTGGGCCTGACGCCCCCACGGATGCCGCCGGCAGCGCAGCCTCTGTGTTTCCCATGCACACGGGCAGCTGCAGCCAGATGTGCAGTGGGAAGGCTCATGCCACCAGGGACGGCTCAGACGCCACCCGAGGCCTCTGCAGGGCCCCGCAGCACGTCACTGCGGTAGGCGAGGGGGCTGCCCGGTGAGCACGCGGGCCCGGAGTTGCCGGAATCTCCCCAGTGTCAAAAGCAGCCAGAAATCTTGAGTTTTATGGGACCCTTTCTGAATGTATAAGGAGATAGCTACATGTAAATATTTTTTTAATTAAAAAAAAAAAAGCAAGCACACACACTTCACACCATGTGGCCAAATGCTGTCTCAGCCAGACCACATATGCTTGTGGGTTGTGGTCACTGACCGCCGGCTCTGAGTCTCCTCAGAACCGAAATTCTGCTCTCCGGCCCCCAACACTGGTAACGAATGCTAAAGTCCTGTCTGGGTGACAATCACATCAATTTTCAAAATGCTACTTCCTCTTCTACCAGACGAAAACCAGCCCTATGGTCTCCCCAACTAAGCAGGTGGCCAGGACTTTCCCTGGTCACCTCGCCCTGGCTCCTGGCCCCACACACCTTGGGCAAGAGCCTGGACAGAAAGAAAGAAACTGTGCTTCTCTCGCCTTTGATGCTTTCCTGCGTTGCTACAGGGGACTTTCCCGTCACCTACCACACCCTGACAGCAGCTCAGCACTCTCACTTGCAAGGCTCAGCTCTCTGGGATGGCATTGGTCCTATCTACCACCCTGGTGCCAAGAGAGGGCAGAGCTGTGTCACCACACTCTGGCGATCCCGAGCTTCCTCCCCGCGGAGGCGGAGTCAGCTGAGCCGGACCACCTGGGCGGGGCTGGGAGGCCCCAGTCTCCGCCCACCTGATCCAAACCACTGGTCCGTGACTGCAGCGACTGGAACAGAATACAGGGCGGAGGACCTGCTTTCTCGCCGCCGTCACCATGCGGAGGCTTGTCCTATCAGTCAGTGTGGCTTCCTACCCAGTATAAAATTCTTACAACCCTGTTTTAGGTGGTCTCTATAGCTTCCACAAGACTCCATTTACGTCAGCTTTCAGCCTTGCTGATGCTACTCTTACAAGTCTGGGCTTGGGACACTTTGCATTCCTTTATTCAGTCTATGTTTATTGAGCACCTACTGTTTGCCAAGCACTGGGTAGTCACTGGACATAAAACAGTGAGAGTCAGACAAGCCTCTTAAACAAATGGTGCTGGACCAACTGGACATCCACATGCAGAAAGTGGACTAGGCACAGACTGTATACCCTTTGCAAAATTTAACTCAAAATGGATCATGGACCTAAATGCAGAACATAAAATTATAAACCTAGAAGATAGGGGAAAACCTACCTGCCCATGGGGTTGTAGACACAACACCAAAGAAATGATCCATGAAATAAATAATCTAGACTGCATTAAAAATTAAAAGTTCTGCTCTGCAAAAGACAGTTAAAAAACGAGATGCAGACTGGAAGAACATATTTGCAAAAAGTCACAGCAGATGAAGGACTGTTATGCAAAACATGCAAAGGACTCTTAAAACTCAACAGAAAACCACCGGATTAAAAAAATTGGTGAGCCCTGGCTGGTGTGGCTCAGGGGACTGAGCACCAGCCTGCAAACCAAAAGCTCACCAGTTGGGTTATAGGTCAGGGCACATGCCTGGGTTGCAGGCCAGGCCCCCAGTGAGGGGTGTGAGAGAGGCAAGCCATCGATGTTTCTCTCACACATTGATATTTCTCTCCCTCTCTTTCTCCTCCCTTCCCCTTCTCTCTAAAAAATAATAAATAAAATCTTATAAAAGAAAATAGGCTCTGGTTGTTGTGGCTCAGTGGATTAAGTGCCGGCCTGCAAAGCAAAGGGTTGCCAGTTCAATCCCCAGTCAGGGCACATGCTTGGGCTGCAGGCTGGGGGCCAGCGTGCACCCATTGAGGGTGCACAAGAGGCAGCCACACATTGATGTTTCTCTCCCTTTCCTTCTCCCTCCCTTCCCTTCTCTCTAAAAAGTAAATAAATAAAATCTTTAAGAAAG